AAAAATCCAAGTAATTTCACTTAAATGTGCAAGTACTGCATTTACAGTCGTTGGTTACTTGGATATTCGAGTCCAAAAAACACTCAGTTTTCTTTACTTGGAACAACTCTAGCTGTTTACTCGGGTCAGCGACGATTAGCTGCGCAGGTGAAAGAATGATACCTGGGTTTTGAACTTCTTGTGTATAACAACGGTTTTTTCCAGAAACAGAAACAACGACCAAAAAAATCGCCCACCTTTGTATAACATAACATAATTTTTACAGCACCAGAAGAGAGTGAATTATATCTGCGCGCGTCGAAGTGCAAAAGGCAGGTACAGACTGCGGACAAATGAACTAGAGATGAAGAGCAAAATTCGGCAAGTGGATACATCCAGTAACATTGCGAGCTTCACAAAAAGTTTCAACACATATTCTCAGTTCTAAGACAGGACCCAGTTTTCTTGCAGAACTTTTCCAATATTACAGTATGGGAGTAAACCTCACCAATTAACTGAAGTAGTAAATGAACATGCTAATAAGCAAATCACTAGTTTTTGGAATGGAAGTTTACACATCCTGAGACAATGACTGCTCAGCACAGCGCAATATTCTTCTCTTCGTTACACCAGCTTGTAGCTTTTTTGTTTCAAAATCTAACATTTCCTGTTCAATTGCCAGTTCCTCATCGACGTTGGTGGCGACTTCGCGATAATCCGCGATAAGGTCGTATTTGCGAAGATCGGTGAGCTGAAATAAAAAGCTCACCTGAGTTGAAAACTTTTTCCATAAGAGCTGAAAAAGAGCTGAAATAAAACTTTTTCCATAAAAAATCGTTGGGAGAATATTCAAACTGTTCTCCCGTTCGAAAAGTAATATTTATTCGGCAGACTTGTTTTTTTGACAACAACTCATCAAGATCATTTCAAATGCTAATGCAGAGTTGCTATCTGCTAGTAAGAAATGATGATGTAAAAATAGCGGGAAAAGAGAACTGATGTAACCTTTGATTTGCTTAATTTTCTCTTAAAATACGATGTTTGCTCAGT